TCGATGATCCCTCCAGCGTCGGCGCCCAGCCAATCCCGTGCGTCCGGCAAGGCGCAGGGCCGCGACGAGCCACAGGCTCCTTTGGAGTAGGAGTGGTGGCGCCCTGATATGCAGCTGCCGCGGCGGTCACTGCTGACTCCCTGGATCGGCGTCGCACAGCAGGCTGCCCCGCTGGTCGCTGATGCCTGCTATTGCCAGGATTGGGGTCATCCGGGCTTTTCCTCTTCTTCTTTTTAGGCGGTGGCGCAAGCTGATCAGGACCGGTTGACTTAGGATTGCTCGAAGAATTCGAAGATGCAGACACAAATATAGGCTGATCTTTCTTTGGCCTAGTCCTCGGCTTAGGAGGAGGTGCCCTTGGCGTTGCCCCTGCAGGTGCCCACGGCGCATAGCGCGCGGGCCCTCTGTCAGGGTTGAGGCCCCCCCCCCCGTCAGACTTTCTGAATGCCACATTCCCGATAGTAGCCTTGCCCCTAATGGACAGGTTCTATTTGTTAGCGCAAAGCATTTCGACAACAGTTGTCTTTACCCAACCTACAGATCCAGCGCGGTTGGCGACTCTTCTTCCAGGGGGAAGGTCCATGTCTTCCGCGACGATGTCCATCGGATCAATGGGGGTGTCCGCATCGCAAGTGACGTCCGTGACAGTGGAGAGGGCGTCGGAGTAATCCGAGAAGTACCCTGGAGGGGCCTCTGCTGTAGGGCCCACTGATTCGGCCAATTCCTCAGCTTCATCATCTTCTTTGCCGGTCATCATCTTCTTGTCTGGACGAAGCAGATCTTCCCGCATGCCACTCGCGATTGAACATCTTGAAGTTACGAGAAGGAGAAAGGTTCTCCCATAGAGCGTTAGCACTGGCTTTTTCATGATCTCTGGCTGTCTCTTAGTCTAGGTGCGTCAACTGCTCGTCGAGTGGTGTTTTGTTCGGATCGGCGCAGCGATTCCGTCCTGCGGGAGTTGGGGCTCTTTGATGGGCGCCTCATCGGGCCGCGGAGTCTATGGCCGGCGTACTCGAAACAGGTGCAAACAACACCTCCGTAAAGTTTTCGTTCTTCGATGATGGCCCTCATTGAACCCCGCTGTTCAAGGGCCCATAGTGTTTTGACAACCTTTTCTGTTCGAGCGAATGGCTTTGCCTTCGTCATCTCGTTTAACGTTGTGAAGAGAATGCCGGTGGCGGGTCTGATGTTCGGTATAACCTCGGTCCTGGTAATATCGCATCGCATCGGGATCTATGTGCTGGCGAGCCAATGCAGCACTCTTGCGGTCAACAAGGCGCTGCATCTCGCCCTCTGGGTATTCTTCTTGAGGATATTCCTTTTGATGCGGGTGTCCCCGCAAGCGCTCCTTCCTCGGTGGGGCATCAGGTCCACTGCCCCTCCCTGGATGGGGCCCTTGGGGCCCTCGCACCAGGAGGATGAGGGCGCTGAAGGCCGCTGGAGCGAGCGCCGCTGGAGCACGCGCGCGCAGGTTCGCGCGACCCACTGCGGACCCGACCGCGACGTAACAGATGTGGGCCAATTTCCCACTCTTCGTCATCATCGTCAGCGCAGTACGTGCGTCTCCAGGTTTGACGGCTTGCCGATCGCTCCTGGCGGCTCAGGGAACGCTCCGCAGCTGCGAATGCATATTGAAGTCCTTCGTAGTGGCCGAGCCCGTCCTGGATGCGCTCTGACAGATCGCCTGTATCTCGCGGCCTTTTCCGCAAATGGCCAATGTTTGCCGGATTGCCAATAACCCGAGGATAGGGCATCAATTGTATTTCCTCTTCTGTCGCAAGAGTGGTGGCTTCTGAATCAACGGGCGCCCCCGCCATTTCGCGATCTGCTTCGGCGGGCGCATGGAAATTCTTGACCAATTCAATATCGGAAGGTTGCCCCGCGATGGGCATGCCCAGCCAGCCTGCCAGGTCGCTCTCGCTGTGGCCAGCGAATATCTCCTCGAACGCCTCGTCGGCATAATTCTCGAGGGAAATACCGGCACTCCAAAATTTGGCAGCCATGAAGTTAACATTTGCAACTGAGCGGTCGGCAGGGTCGGTTAAACGTGTCTCCCAATCAACAAACTGCATGTCCGAATCAGTTTGAGCCAAATGCATCGACGGACCTCTGCCTCTCCCATCGCCCCGAGGGCACTCACGGCGAAAATGATGCGTGTTATGGCAGATCTCACATTCCATTGTTTTACCGTAAGCATCCTTCGGGTTGCCCCGACGTCCCTTACCTGTTCCTGAAGTGCGCCGAGGGCTCCTGTCTGCAACTCTTCATACTGCGGACCAGTAAAGGATGCTAGGAATGCTAACACACCTCTGCCATGCAGTCGCCGTCGTTTGCCTTTACCCTTGCCTCGACCCTTGCCCTTTCCCCTGAGTGCCCGTCGGATAGTACGTCGTACCTTGCGGACTGGCTTCTTCATCAATCGCCTCCATCGGCGCTTGTGTTTCTGATACCCTAAGAATATCCATTGCGCCTGTTGTTCTTCCGTGAGGTACGTGGGCATGTCGGAGTGGTCTAGGGCAGTCGCCTCGTCGTCTGAAGACGCGCCGGCGTCGGTTCCAGAGTCGAAGTCGGATTCGGCAGGTTGCCCCGATGAGCCTATTAGGGCAGTGGCTTGAGTAGGGGCCGCCGCATCAGGCGGCCCCCGAAACCTGGCCCAGGAGTCTTGCAATCCCGAGGCCGAAGCACCATTTTGAGTTAATAGCGCGGTGGTATCCGTCGGTTGCGGATCGTCGTTCCAGACGTTAGTGGCGGGCTGCCCTGCGTTAGCCTCAGCGTGGAAGGTCTCGGCGCGGTGACCGTGACTGAAGATGCTACCAATATTGCCAGGGGTTATATCAGCAATGTGGGCATATGACCTCACGCGTTCAAGCAGAGAGTCAAGTTGTTGCTGGCCCCTCGGAATGCGGTGGTTCAGCGGCTGTAGGAGTTGTTGCGCACGCGACGTCCCCACTCCTAGGACTCTGAATAGAATGACTGCTAGAATTTGGACATTGGGGATGTTAAAGCCTGCCGCCTCAGCTTCATAGCGGGTTATCTCGAAACGTGCCAAAGTCTGGTCGATCCGTTTTCCCGCATGGACTCGGCAGTCAATGAGAGCTGCGCCAGAGTTAAATTGGCGTTCCTCTTCTAGGTTCTCGAACTTCGTGCTTCAGAGGAACATGATGTAGGTGACGCCATCGGCATGGCGACCACCTATGTTCACGCCGAAATTGATAACTGCTGGGGGAACTCTCATGGCTATGGTCCGCGCGAGGCCTCCCAAGCCTCGTTGCAGTGCTGCAGCTTGTTGGGAGAGCGCCATGGTGCCTGTGGTCACGTTGATCCAGGCGTGCACCTCGCGAACGAATTCGCGGAAAGGTACTCAACCGGCCGGCTCCCGATGGGGGCCTCCTGTTCTTGTGTCGTCTCCGCCGCGCGCCCGATAGCAACCCATATGAGCCCAAAGGTAGCTATACCAATCCAGTGGCCTCGTAGGTCGTAGTCAGATGTGGTTGGTTGGGGTTTGTGGTGTGTGGTCGTAAGCCTGCGCGGGGGTGGAGGCGGCGCAATGTCGTATCGCATGTTTCCATGCGTTGTGTCTTCGAAGAAGTTTCCAAGTGGAGTAGGTGGGTGGAAGTCAGGAGTGCAGAAGCGCAGGGATGTAGGACTCGAGTAAGAGGCCTCTGCGTGGGCAAAGGTATCACTGCAAGTGTCCTTGCGGCTGTGCGTAGTGATGTACATTCCTCCGCGCAGACCCACTGCACCTTGATGTTCCACCATGTCAGCAGTCCACCATATAGTGCCGTGGATGCTGAGGAGTAGAGCAAGAGCTGACCACCATAGGCCAGCTCCGCTACCAAGTTTGAAAAGGGCTGGGAGGCCCAACCAGCAGCTTCGCCTTAAGCGAAGCCCAGCTACAGCTCTGTTGTACCGTAGTAACGATAGTCCCAGTAGTAGGAGATCGTCGCGGGAGCGACGAGCCATCTCAAGCAAATGATATTTTGGTCTCGATGGCAAATGTTACACCTCACGCTGAGGTGTAGTCAGATCTGCGCGGCTGGCCGCTTGAGCCAAAATGGCCGCGGACACACGCTCGTTACCTCTCGCCTGTATCCCAGCTCACTTTAGAATCAAGAAGCCACCAAAACGCACCCAAGGGGACACCAGGACGGCCCAAGAGGGCGCCGAGACGCCCCGATAGCCCCCCAAGACAGCCCAAGACGGGCCCAGGAGAGAGAAACCGAACTGGCTTTCGGAGCCTCTTCTTCCTAAGAGGCCCAATGAAGCCTGCAGAGGCCAGAAGACGCCCGCAAGAGGCCCCAAGAGGTCCCCAGGTAGCTTTCAAGAGGCCTCCAAGAGGCTCCCAAGAGAGGCCCCCAAGAGGCCCCAAGAAGCCTCCCCAAAGCCTCCAAACCAGAACAGGCCGCCAAAAAGCCTCCAAGAAAGATGGCAGAAGGGCACTGCCGGCGTTCTACGTGGTTCCTCCCCAAGAGCCCCCCAGAGGCCCCCAAGACTGCCCCGGAGCCGTTCGCCTCCAAGATATACCCAAGGGCACCCAAAAGACCCACGACATGCCTCAACCAATATCTGGAGAAATCCCCCCGGAGGGCCCTGAGACGACTCAGCGACGGACGCATCTTTCACGTCAAGGCCCCCGCACCCAAACGGCTCAATGGCGGCCACAGCCCGGAAGCCAAGGCTCCCAAGAGGTCTAGGTGGCGGAGAATCTTGATTTAGGCGAGTCTGTGACGTCAACCGGTTTGAACTTCGCATCAACGCTGACGTCTCCTCCACCGCGCGCACCAGTCCCCGAAATCCAAGTTGTCCTCTGACAAGGCTCCGCGCCGTGCGAAGCGCATCGAATGCATTCCTCGAACTGCTGCTCTTCTTTGTTGCGAGCACTTGGCTTACCTGTGGGCCACTCGTTGAGGACACCTTGCGGGACGCTTCCAATCTGCAGTCGGAGAAATCCCGAGGGCTCCAGGGGGTCGGCGGTGCGGCGTAATACGCCTTATGATCAGGATGAGGCGCATGAGGACGATGGCGGTACGCGCACACAGCGGCTGGCGTTGGCCCGAACGCTGCGCAAAAGCAATCCGACCGATGGCCGCATCGACCGCCAGAGCGGGTGGGACATGCTTGATACGATACCTCACGGGAAGACACGGGAAGATGGGGCGCTCTTCAAAAGCAATCCTACCGATTACCTCACCTACCGCCAGAGCGGGTGGGACATGCTTGGCACGATGCCACACAGGAAGATGGGACACAGGGGGAGGAGGACGCGGCACTGGGGGAGGCCAAGGGATGGAGATCAGAGGGGAAGAGGGGGGGTCGGGCGGGAAGGGGGAGCTGGGAGAATAATGAGGGGAGGAGCAGACGAAGAGGGGGGAGGGAGCGGCAAGAAGGAGGACGAGGAGGAGGAGGAGGAGGAGGCGGGTGGGGGCGAGGAGGAGGAGGACGACGACGACGACGACGGCGAGAAAGGGAAGAGGTAACGAGGAACAGGCGGTTCACCACGACGGAAGCATGTCCCGAGAAAAACGGGCCGTCGGCCCTAGGGCCGTCCCCAAGCACCAGCTCTGCATCCTGGGTGGCGCTCTCTGTCGGCCACACGCAGAGGCGGCTGGGGGGAATGGGGAGGGATTCTTATCCTCTTTCTCCTCCTCCTCCTCCTCCTCCTCCTCCTCCTCCTCTTTCTCCTCCTCCTCCTCCTCCTCCTCCTGGTCCTCCTCCTCCTCCTGGGCCTCCTCCTCCTCCTCCTCCTCCTCCTCCTCCTCCTCCTCCTCATCATCACCTGTAGAACCAGGGCGGCCGGCGCCTTCCAAGAAGCAACCTCCTTCTAAGAGGCCCTCCCTGGGAAACCTCCCAAAACGGCGGTGCCGCTACTCCCTGGACCTCTCCCGGGGTGCGCTCTGACCGGCATTTCCGGAATCCAGCCGTGGCGACGAGGGCCTCCCAGGAGGCCCGAAAAGGGGAAAAAGGAGAGAAGGGCAGCGGTATCGTACCTTTGCCTCCTCTGACTCCCCCTCCCCCTCCTCGCTCCTCCTCCTCCCTCTCCGCCTCCTCCTCCTCCTCCCCTCCCTCCTCCCGCTCCTCCTCCTCCTCCTCCTCTCCTCCTCCTCCTCCTCCTTCCTCCTCCTGCTCCTCCTGCTCCTGCTCCTCCTCCTCCTCCTCCTCCTCCTCCTCCTCCTCCTCCTCCTCCTCCTCCTCCTCCCCCCTCCTCCTTCTCCTCCTCCTCCTCCTCCTCCTCCTCCTCCTCCTCCTCATCATCTTCCTCCTCCGACGACAGATGCACAACGAGGCTGTGTCCTCTGAATATAGAATCCTGTTTGGTGCACTCGGTATCAGAAAGAGTGCCTGGAGTCCTGTGAGCGCAAGGCCACGGATATTAACAACAACAACAACAACAACAACAATCATTTTACCCTGACGCTCAGTTTCTCACCAGTGCCAGGGTTTTCATAGGAGGCGGGCAATACCCCCACTTTGTGGGGGGGCCGTTCAAGCTCTACCAAATTTCCAAACGACTCTTCGCCACCACCCACACCCAGCTTCCCGCCCTATGACGTTCGGACACTTCACTTCGTGGCATGCGGACGACCGTGGCTACTATTCAGGGCCCCGCGGCCGACGACGACGGCGTGCGCGCGCGAAGAAAAAACGAATGTGTCCCGCATGGTATTATTTGACAGGGATGATGGCCCTGGCAGGTGCGCAACCGTTGTTGCAGAAGTTCGAAAAAGTTGCTCGCAAAAGCCCGTTTGACAGAAATGATTAAAAAGTGTTGGGTTTCCTACGAATCCGCAAGAGCGCGCGGGATGAATTTTTGACATTTTTTTTTTGAAAAACCATTGGTTTTTTGATGTTTTTATGTTAAAATCGCTACGAACACTAAGGTTTTGGAAGGATTTCGTCTTGCGCGCGCGAATGTCCACTTTACCTTATTTTTTGAAGCTTGAGAGGTCCCCAAGATCGCCCCAAGACGGCCCAAGAAGTTTGAAAAGGGGTTGGGAGGCCCAACCAGCAGCTTCGCTTTAGGTGAAGCCCAGCTCCAGCTCTGTTGTACCGTAGTAGCGATAGTCCCAGTAGTAGGAGATCGTCGCGGGAGCGACGAGTCATCTCAAGCAAAGGATGCTTTGGTCTCGATGGCGAATGGTACACCTCGCGCTGAAGTGTAGTCAGATCTGGGCGGCCGGCCGCTTGAGTCAAAATGGCCGCGGACACACGCTCGTTACCTCTCGCCTGGGAGAGGGAGACGAAGCGTGAGCCCGCCGCTTCTCTACAGACGGTACAGCAGCTACCTACAGCAGCTACCATGTACAAAAGGGCAGCAAAAGGGCGGGGCCGGAAGGAAGGTGGACCCGCACGCAAGTTGCCGCGCCTGCACGTTACTGTGCATACGAGTACTCCTCAGGCGGCCGCAGACTAGGATGTCTGGCCAGCCCGATAAAGAGTATGACGCTTTAAGTCATGCTTGAAGGATCGCGTGCCTCCCATGACCTGTAGGAGCATGTCTCAGTCGATCAGTCGATGCTCCCTTTTGTGCGACCATCCGCGGTCATGTCGCGGGTGCCACACCACTGGATACTACGCGCTGTTCCTCGCTCCATCATCTGAAATATCCAACGGATGTGTCCTAAACGGGTACACTCAGTCGGCTTCTTCAAGTCTTGCTTGACAATGACTTAAACACAGACTCAGCATCTATGGTCAAAGTGACCTTGATGCTCAGGCTACCCAACTCAAGTATATCTTTCAACTGAGTGGGAGTCAGCGGCCCTGCGTGGAGCAAGTGCAGAGTCACGATCGTGGGATACCAGTCCTCCAAGTTGCGGGCTGCTGCTAGCGTCTCTGCTGGATAGCTCGAGCGGACCTGCGAGCGATGATGCAGTACGCATCGATCAAGTGAACGACAGGCTTGCCGGACGGCGTGTTTCCACGCCGTAGCAGGCCTGCCCCGCGAATACCATAGCCTTTGACTTCGTCATCAGCATCTCCACTCAGGCGTCGGCACCCTGAGTCGCTGTGCAGGTCGACTTCGCCCGTGGGAGTCATCGCATGGTAGACGATCTTCTTAGGGCAGGCCTGCAGCTTCCTGGTGGTCGCGTTCAGTCGTCGCACTTGCATATTGGTCGGTTCTTGGACACGTTGGAGAGACACTACATATACCATCAATCACACCTGGGTGATTAATGCATAAGCCAATGCGCCTCTGAGGCTGACGAACATATCTGCAACCATCCTGGATGCCTTGGCGCCAGCGTCGGCGCATGGTAATTCAGGATGTTGTATAGGGCGGAGCTGTTTGATGCATTCGTCTTGGTCCAACGTAACGTTGCCGTCCTCACCCTTGGTATGCCTCACAACACAATTGGTATATGTAAGCTTGCTGAGTTTACACTTACCAAACGTGTCCTCTACGCACTTGTCGTGCTTGTCAATGGTGTCCTCAGTACCGGCCATATTGATATCACCAAGATGTTTGGCTGTGAGCAGGTTACTGCTTGTCTTGTACTCCTCGTCGTAGGACGTGGGTCTCAGACCGAAGTCTCTCGTGACCTTTCTGAGCTCTAGTGAGAAAGCTCGAGTTGCGTCCTTGGTGCAGGTACCTGGCTTGAGGCACTGCAAGCTGTGCTTCGACTCGTCGCAGAGCTCGAACCCTGGGCGGGATCGAAGCACCGTAGCCGATCCAGGCGTCAAAATAAAGCGCACCATGCGTTCTTTCTCACCAGTTGCCTCAGCAAGTTCCTGGTAGGTCAACCCTTGCAGGAGGGCCATGTTGACGTTGAGGGAAACAATGATCCGTTGCTTATTGCGCGCTGCCGCGCTTGCGAGTAGCCTCTGACCTGACCGCCGTGCTGTCCTTGAGAAGGTTTCCGCGTCGAAAGTTTCAGTTCAAGGCCCATGAAACCCCGAAGTACCAGGCGCAATCTGATGGCGCGCTCCATCTCGCCCCTCTCGTTCTTCGCGAACTCTCAGTTTATGCACATACCTCGAAGTCATGATGTTTGACGCTTTGGATAGGTCCTGCATGTTGAAACACTTGTTGTGCAACCATGTCTGGAGCTCAGTGCACAGGGCCTCCGGTACTTTCTCGGGATTCGCCTGGGCGCCGGCCTTCGCGAGGAGGTCGTCTTCTTTGACGACCGCGGCTCGCTTTGCAGCGGCGGTAACATATGCTCGCATGGTGGTCACGCGGTCGACATCGAATATCCTGGGTCCTTGCCTCTCGGGCTGGAGACGGCGACGCCTCTGCAGGCCCGCCACCTCTCTCTTCGTCTCCATCGGCCCTGCGGCCCAAAGGTGAAGCCAAACGCTCCTGCGAGCGGTGGCGGCCGCGCTCCTGCGAGCGCTGGGGCGGCGGCCGCAGGTCGGCGCGGGGGCGGCGGCGGCGGCGGGGGCGGGATCGCCCCCGCGGGCTGCCGCTGCGGCGGGGCGGCGGCATGGCTGCCGCCGGGGGGGTCCCAAAGTTCAAGGACCAGGGGGTGGGGCCCTGGCCCTGACGCTTTCCCGAACCCTGCGGTTCGAACCCAAAACATGCGGCGACGAGGAATGCATGCACAAGGCAAGCAACGCAATGACCTGCGAATGCGTGAACAACGCAAGCAGCGCCAACTGCCACAACACGAGAATGCATGCACGTGACATGTGAACAACACAACAACGTGAGAATGCATGCAGAGGCCCCCCGTGACTCTCCCTACGTTTTCTAGTGGAGTTGCCTCCAGTAGTTCCCTTTCATCATGTAGTTCTGTATACAGCACTTCCATAATATGTGCCTCGAGGTCCACCTCCGATTCCTCATATATCGTGGGAAGTCGTCCATCCTCCTGCGGTGGTTCGGCTTCTGGGGCTTCTCCGGCGGTTCCGTCTTGTGTCAGTATATCCGCCAGTTCCTCGAACTTTGTCATGTCTTGGTCAAAGCCCGCTTGAGGTTTGGTGGACTTCAGGCACTGGATGATTCTCGAATGTGCTGATCCAGTTATGTCATGAATATTGAGAGCGGTGCCTTCTGCTTCGTAGTAATGAATCCCGGACTCACATCGTTGTCATAGTGGACCAATGTGAAACTGTCAGCGCAAGCCACTGGAGGTAGCTCGTGG